TACTACCTGTATATTTTCCGCTGATTCTAGTTGTTTGGTATGTTCATTTCATGGTCGCACCGAACTTGTCCATTTACGAACTAGACGTTCTAACATGCATTATTTTGAAAGTAGCAATAGCTTAAAGCATCAATTTTTTACACATTTGGTTGCTGTATTAACCCTTTGCATTCAAGGGTCTAGTGAAATCTCTCTCAAACCTCTTCCAGTCCAAAGGGGTAGTATTGGCTCAAAAAAGGATGAAAATGCACTTGTTTTTGGCCTTTTTTATTTATCTGTTCAACTATGAGCTTGCTCAAACGAGTCTTAAGAAATGAGCAAAAGGCCGGCCTGCTTGAGCTGATGCCCAATTTTGTTGAACCCGCCAGTCACTTTGTTTTTGCGCAAAAAATCCCAAAGTTTCTAAACTGTTGTTTTACACGAACAATTCATTTTTTAACTCTCTATCCAGTGGTGTAAAAGAAATCCCGCTTCATTAAGCGGGTCTTGAAGTATGAGCAAAACAGTAGCAACTGAGCAGTTTTGTTAAAACCGCCATAAACAGTATAAGTGTTGAAAGACCAAAGTCAACTGCATTTTCACGCATTAGACACGTAGTTTATTTTCCATGTTTTACTTGGTTTAGGACACTAACATTTACTTTTTGCACCTGACATGTTTTGTTCGTTTCACTTTCCACTTACTGTTATAACAACCGTTATTACTTTTTTTACAAACTTCTTTTTGGGTACTTCGCCTCAAAAATTGTTGCCTTTAAAAAAGACAGAATTTCTTATTGCGAAATAGGAGTACTATTTATCAATCTGTAATAGAAGACTAGCTTCTGGCTTTTTCTTAAGACAAAAATTTTTGAGGCGAAATACCCAAACAAGAAGTTTGTAAAAAAATGAATCCGCCTCAACAATATAGAACTTATCTACAACCCTTATTACTTCTCACCACTCTTACGTTTGTACCTAATATGATTTTATTTCACCTTTGTACTGTTTCCTTTGCTTCTATTTGTTTTACGATTTGTTTTGCAATAAACTTCTTTCTTCTTTATTATTTTGTTTGTATTTTTGCTAACCTTATGCCGCGTCCGGACGTAACGAGCCGAGTCCGAGCCGAACCGCGGCAAATCCCAACAGAAAATGACCGGCTCAGACTCGACTCGTCAGGTCTGGACTCACTAAAAATGCACTTATAGACTAACATTGGTAGAACAATCCTCCCAAATCCCGAACAATTTCATTTCTATCCCTTATTCCAGATGTATTCCCATTGGTTCCCTGTCCTGATCGAAACCGTTGCGGTTGGAATCATGCTACTGATCTTCGACATCTACATAAATCCCGAAGAGTACGCTGAAGCTCCGAGTTCATTTTTCGATTATCTTTGGACGTAACAAACAGCCAAATTAACCAGCTAACTAAACTAAACCCCATGCTTTGAAATAAATAGCGTTTAACTCAACTGGTTGTTCATTTGATTCACGATGTTCAGTTGGTTTAATGTTAATTCAAGGAAG